TATATATATATATGTGAGACAGCGTGGTGAAATCAGGCGCTCGTCAAAATAATGAAATCGAAGAAACTGTCATATTAATCTGTCCGTTTGACAAATTTTTATTGATTTTTTTTTTTTATTGATTCAAAACCTTTAAGGTCCATTTAAAATCCAGTTTTTGAGTGGATTTTACTGAAAGACATTAAAGGCACAAAAAAAGTACATTCTCAGTTTACAAGGACTCTCCGGCTATGGAAGTCACATAATTTTGACGCCATTTCCCCGCTAATGTTACATCTGAAGCCAGGTGACCCCCACCTTCTTCAATCACAAATATCTCAAATTCAATTTGAGATACAAGGGTACTTCTTTCACTTAATCAAGGCAAATCAATAGGCTTTAAGAAGATACCAATAACTCCATATGCCCCAAATGTGACGAGTGCCCGATTCCACCGCGCCCGTGACACATATTACATAGATCTACTCCTTCGCTTCCTTCAAAGAAAATGACAAACCCTTTCAATTGCTCTAACCCTCCTGTAACTGTCCACTCCTCCAACCCCCTCGTCAACTTAACAAGTTCCGTCAACAACAATATGGCTCCAATAAAGTCTAAAAATACCTACGTCTGCATTCCCCTCCTCCCCCAATCCCAACCCCTCCACTTCCAAACACAAAACATGCATGACTTATAATAATTTTCTAATTTGCTGACACTGTGGCGCACGTTAAACTCACGTTTATACACTTGACTTTCGGAACTGTGAGAAGCTGGAAAGAAGATGATTGCGGCTGACTAATCGTGTCCCTCCTCTGCTGAGTCGAGTCTGTTCACGATTTCAATAATAACTAGGAAATTAGGATGAAGATGGAGAGAGAAACTGAAATTAGGAAGAAGGCTACGGGTTTCAGGAATTTATACTAAAAATAGCACTTGATCAATCCTATTTCCATTTTCAGCTGGTGAAATAATATGACGTTTTTTGCGCGTCTTGGGGGCTATGGACTGCCATTAAGATGTTAACAAAAGCTAAATTTTACTTTTTCTTGCTTATATCTAATTAGATCTATAGCAATTCATTAAACATTTAGTCGAGGAGCAGTGTGTGTTGGGAAAAAGGTGTCGCAAAATCGGATATTCCCGGTTTAGTGAAACGTACTTTTAGCCTACTATAAATACCTCAGTGGGAATTTCCTATAATTCGAAGGCTCGACAAAGTTCAGCAGAACGTTCTTCTGTCACTTGTCAGTTCTGACAGTGCGATCTGTTCTAGTTTTGTTTTAGTGTAATACATTGCAAGTTTGACGGCACCTGCAACACAGTTGGTTCATACAAGCGTCAAAGTTTAGAGGTGCTATGAGAGATTAGCATTATAGGCCTACAAAGAACTGAAGGGGAGAGCTAATATATATTAGAACTTATAAGTAAGGGTAATGGATGTCTGACAGGAAAATTAAAGTTAAAGGGGACAAACCGCACCAGAGCACCCGCCAACTGCCCACATCCACTGTGTGATATATCAATTGTATGTAGGGGCCTATGTTATTGGGTTAGTTTGAGAAGCGGCACAGAATTCTACACTTATAGAATTCTACACTTACAGAATTCTACTCTTACAGAATTCTACACTTACAGAATTCTACACTTACAGAATTCTACACTTACAGAATTCTACACTTACAGAATTCCGTGGGAAGCGGCTAAATAGCTGGGGGAAACAAGACGAAGGTCGATCAAAATAAGAAAGAGAGAGAGAGAGAGAGAGAGAGAGAGAGAGA